AATTATTATTATTATTATTATTATTACTATTACGTAGTATTATTTGTGTTATCAGGTGATCCAGTTTGTGTCACGATCTTCAATTTATGTCTTGATTATCTTAATATCTTCATGATATGTAATGTGAAATAGTGTGCATCTAATCATGTATAACTGCCAAACTACTATTGGTTCACCAAGCTCTTCATTAAAATGTTCTTTTTGTCAGGCGCTTGATAGGCTGGGTCGTGTAGATGAAGTTTTCAATGATCCAGAGTATGCATTATGTTCTAAAGCTGCATATAAATAGTCCTCACCTTCCTCTCTTAAAAGTGCTAATGAGGCTTCCATACAATTATCTTTTTGTAGGTACAAGTTTGAATTCCCTTCCCCCGATGACAGACCAGGGCCTCCAATTATAAGCTTCAGGTAACACTATGATTATTAGATTTATTTTATACTCCCTCCGTCCACAAATAAACTTTACATTACGCGTTACGATGTTTGACTGAAGTTATTTTCAAATCATTTTATATGAAAAATGGTGTAGAATTGAAAAATAAAAATTACATAATAAAAAACTATATCAAAAGATCTACAAAACTAGAGGTGACATGACTATATTATTTTATCAAATGGGTGACGAAAATAGGCCAGCAAAGTGAATAAAGTTTGACCCTGTGAATAGTGAACGTAAAGTTTATTTGTGGACGGAGGGAGTATTTTAGATTTCAAGGGTACTTCAGTGTCGTGCTTGTGGCTCTTCCATTGAACAATGTTGTTTGTGTTAAGTATTCTGATACCACATATACTGATGAACTACTATTATGAATCAAATCTAAGGGATACAAGCTACAATCAAAGGAAGTATTATTGCTCAAATAGAATAAGAACCCTAACAAAGACTAGCATCATCATTATCAACATCCTTAATTCCAAAGCATTTGGGTCTGGTGACATTAATTTTAGAGTATCAAGTATGATCTATTTGCAGTATATAATCACGTGCAGATTGCACAAAGCATAACACCAATGTCTTGCGTTAGATGCCTTCCTGTTGCCCGAAGCAAAAATGAGATAAAAATACTCAAACCTCATCATTAAATTTTAATTTCTACATGCATGAAAATTAGGGGTGAACCTAGTGGGCTAGCCGGCTCTGTGTACCGATTCGGGACCGACCAAAGCAGAGTTGAACTATAACCAGAAAGGTTTAACACCAGTCTGGTATAATCACTAGTGGCAGTTAATGAATGTTTGGACCTTAATTTTTCTTTTTTAAAATCAAATAGTTAATTTTATTTTTTTGGGGAAAAATAACTTGTGAAAAAAGTCACACATTATATAATTGGAGATATGCACATCTGTATTAATAGGAGCCAACCCAGCATACAATTGGGTACCTGTCCCAGTTCATGTTCCAGTCCTGGGACTGGTGAACGATTTTTGGTTGAAAAATTGGCTTCCCTAATCCCTATCGGGTACCCGGTCCAGAAACAAGACTGTTAGGAACAAAGGCACATACACACGAATAGAAAGCAAGAAAGCATTAAAGAACACAAGAGATTTAACGTGGTTTAGTCTAATCTGACCTACATCCACGAGGGCAACTAGGGTTTGTATTATTGATTGATGATGATTACAAGTACATGAGATCATATATGTAGACAACTAATTAGGGTTTAACCCTTGCTGAACAAGTTATTGCAAACTAGGCTTAAAACCATTTGGGCCGGCCAAACCCTAATATGGTCTTCTCTTAATTTTCAGTTGTCATAAGTGTGGGCCACTTTGGGCCGATGACTACATATCACCAACAATCTCCCACTTGGAGTCTTTGGACCAAATTGCGGCTTCTCTCTGTACTTCTGTAAATGAAAAATCCTCCTTCCTCTTCACATCTCCCTAGTTGCCCCTCTCAACACTATTCCAGGAGACCAGCTGAAGCTATGCAAAGCTTCAGCTTATCCAGCACCACTGACTTGGTGAACATATCTGTTGGATTCTTAGCACTTGAGATGTTCTTCGATTTGATTGTTCCATTACTGATCAATCCTCTCACGAAGTGATACCTCATCCCGATGTGCTTTGTCTTGCCATGATAAACTGGATTTTTAGCAAGTTTCACCGCACTCTCATTCTCACTGTACACTAAGTAATCAGACTGTTGTTTGCCCAATTCTTTAAGAAAAGTCACTAGTTCTTTACTAGCCTCTGCAACAACCATATACTCGGCCTCTGTTGTAGATAATGCCACACTTTTCTGAAGTCTAGAACTCTAGACATCCAGCTCGCTGCTGTTCCTCCCACTGTAAAGACATACCATGTAGTTCTCTTAAATGTCTCTCTACAACCACCCAAATCAGCATCTGTAAAACCTCTGAGAATAGCATCCTTCCCTTTGAAACATAAACCCATTTTTTGGGTTCCCTTCAAATATCTAAGTATCCATTTGACAGCTTCCCAATGCTCTCTACCCGGATCTGACATAAATCGACTAACAACACCAACGACATGAGCAATATCGGGTTAAGTGCAAACCATGGCATACATGAGGCTCCCAACCGCTGATGCATAAGGAACTTTAGCCATTTCTGATCTTTCTTCTTCAGATTTAGGTGACTGTTCTTTAGTCAGCTTCAAATGACTTCCCAGTGGGGTACTTCTAGGCTTGGGCTTCCCGTCATTCATCTTGATTCTCTCTAACACCTTCCCTATGTATCTCTCCTGAGACAGTGTTAGAGAACCATCCTTGTTTCTGATGATGCTCATCCCAGTATCTGGTTGGCTGGACCCAAGTCTTTCATCTCAAATTCTTGAGACATTTCTTTTTTCAATTTGCTTATTTCTTTCATTTCAGATCCTGCAATCAACATATCATCAACGTATAGGAATAAGATGATATAGGAGTTGTTGAATTTCTTCAAATAGCAACACTGATCCATCTCACATCTTTTAAACCCCTATCTCTCCATGAAGTTATCAAACTTTAGGTACCATTGTCTAGGTGCTTGTTTAACACCATATAAGCTCCTTATCAATTTGCAGAGCCAATTTTCTTTGTCGACAACCTGAAACCTTTCAAGTTGTGCCATGTAAATGTCTTCATTTAGATCACCATGTAGAAAAGTTGTTTTCACATCTAGTTGTTAGAGAGGACCAGATCAAAGCAAAATAGAATATTTTATTGCTGTAAACTGTACAAGATTATTTGTGTTCTCTAAATATAAATAGAGAACAGACCAACATGACTTTTACTAACCAACACAACTATTACAAACCAAAACACCTATTAACAATAGAAACTACCCATAATTGACCCGAACATTGGCTCATTACCCATTTAGTTACATGTGAACAAACCCGATTAAAACTAAGAATCACGCCTTTAATCGTTGTTTGTTCACACTGATCATAGCAACGTTGGTTCATCATCTTCAATCAAATTTGCAATCAAAACGACCACCATCCCGACCTTTCCCGGGCCCCCGACCTCTACCTCGGCCACGTCCAGAGTCTTCTCGGTTTGTGCTCCAGCAATCACATTGCTCACGTTTGTGCTCCTGAACATTCTGTTTTTCATCAGTCATCATCTTTAGTGAATAGTAGTTTACCATGCGGATCTCCATCCTCAGTTTGCTTTTTGATGCGTTCCTCAAATGCTTTCAATCTTCCAATCGGTTCTTGAAATGGCATTGTGTTAATGTTAGCAAACAGTTCAATTGCAGCAACGATTTGTATGAACTTTTAAGGTACAGAACCCAAAAGCTTTCAAACCAATCTTTTGTCTTCAAATGCAGACCCAAGATTGTTTTCTTATGTTGCAAGTTGACTAATTTTACCAGCAAAATCATGAAGTGACTCATTGTTCTTCATCTTTAGAGCCTCAAAATCCGATTCAAGTGTTTGTAATCGTGCCACTTTAACCCTGTCAACACCAACGAAGCGAGTCTTCAAAGCATCCCAAATTTCTTTTGCTTCAGTAAACTGAGCAACTTGTAGCACGATCTCTTCCGGCAAAGCTTGAAACAGATATGCTATTGCCATATTGTTCTTTGGATCGATTTCTGTTCCTGGTTTGATCACCTCCCAAACCCCATTAACATTAAAAATTGCTTTGATCTTCACGGCCCAAATAGTGTAGTTTGTAGCAGTTAGAATTGGAAGCGTCAAAGATAGTGAACTATTCTCCCTTGTAGTCACAATCTGTCTATTGTCTTCCATTGCACGACTTTAATTCCTAAGACAATTATCACAAAATTTTTAGATTTTGATTCCTTCCTGGTCGTAAGCCACCTGCAATCGACCATCAACCAGAAGACAAGCCCTTGCTTTTCCGTCTTCCAAGCCACTAAACGAAAGCTACCCCACTGTTTCGTTTCTGCCAAAGGAAAAAACTTGCCACTTGCTATTCTTGTCCTAGGCAAGGAAGAATCTTGTCGAAGATTTTTGATCGGTTGTGAAAGAAGTCTCTAACGCTTTGTTTTATGATCTGGCAGCCCTTTCGCTCTCGATCACACACCTCCTGTTCACAAGGCAGACCGCTCCCTTTGATTGTTGGGTCCTAGGTGGATAGTCGCTCCGATACCGATTGTTAGCATATCAAAGCAAAATAGAATATTTTATTGCTGTAAACTGTACAGGATTATTTGTGTTCTCTAAATATAAATAGAGAACAGACCACCATGACTTTTACTAACCAACACAACTATTACAAACCAACACACCTATTAATAATAGAAACTACCCATAATTGCGTTTTAGAAACTACCCTTAGTTTTTTAATTAATTAAATATGTAAAACACACTAAACGACACCACACTAACTGACTCTATACTAACTGATCCGAACATTGACTCATTACCCATTCGGTTATATGTGAACAAACCCGATGAAATCTAACACTAGTTGCTCTAGAAGTAAATTCTCTGCTGCTACAATACTAACCTGATGGTTGTCATTTTTAGCACAGGAGAGAAAATCTCATCATAATCAACCCCCCTTTTCTACTGAAACCCCTTGACCACTAAACGGGCTTTATACCGTTTAGACCCATCATGCTCTTCTTTGATCCTGAAGACCCATTAATTCTGTAATGCTCTCTTACGTCGCGGAAGCTTAGCCAAAGCTCAAGTTTTGTTCTTTTTTTAGAGAGCTCATCTTGTCCTTCATTGCATGCTCCCACTGGAGAGAATCTTTCATCTTGACTGCCTCGGAGTGGCTTTCTGGCTCATCATTTTCTGTCAAGAGAATCTAATTAACTGAAGGACAATTACCTATCTGGCTTCTTTTTTCAGACTCTGAACTCCAAGCCTTTAGACATAGATCTTCCCCTGTAACTGTTTATCCTCTCTTTCTTTTTACCTCTTCTCTCAGTGCTCAGCAGAGAATTGGATGACTCACCTGTATTCTTTCTCTTGATGTCTTCTCCTAAGATAAAATTACGGATTCCCTCAAACGTGAGTGTGGTGTTTCCAGCTGAACCACTAATAGCCATGACTGATCCTGACCAACTATCCGGTAGCGAAGATAAAAGAAGCAAAGCTTGTACCTCATCATCAAATTTGATATCAACTGGTAGCAAACGGGATATGATGGTATTGAAAACATTGATATGAGTAGTAACAGAGCCACCTTCCCGCATACGAGTGTTAACTAACTGTCTAATCAAGAATACCTTATTAGACGCGGAAGGTTTCTCATACATGTTTGACAACGTTGTCATAACCCCACGAGCAATAGTCTCTTTCACGATGTTGAAAGCCACACTCTTTGTCAAAGTGCACCGGATGACGGCTAGGGCTTTTCTATCCAAGTCAGCCCATTCTTCATCTTTATCCTGTCAAACATGGAAGAAGATCTTTCTCACATAGCAAGTCCTCGACTTGCATCTTCCACCATCCAAAATCTTGCCCATCAAACCTCTCTATCCTGATCTTTCCATCCTCAGACATCATCTCTTCTGAGTACCCAAAATCTGACCAGAGAACACGTGAGAACAGATCGAAACAAACAACCAGAGCTGACCTAAAAAATTGCAGCAGCAAACTGAACAGCAAGGCTGTTCGGACTGTCAACAGATGACTGTCTCGGTGGTCTTCTGATGTGCCGGCAGAAACCCTAGAGCCACTAGGGTTGGCATGGAGGCTGATGTGTGTGTACTACCTAGGCTCCGATACCAGTTGTTAGGAACAAAGGCACACACACACGAATAGAAAGCAAGAAAGCAATAAAAAACACAAGAGATTTAACGTGGTTCGGTCTAATCTGACCTACATCCACGGGGGCAACTAGGGTTTGTATTATTGATTGATGATGATTACAAGTACATGAGATCATATATATAGACAACTAAGGCTCTGTTCCGTTCAACTTATTTTTTCTGATCTGATCTGATTTTAATAAGTTCTGATCTGATTGGATCTGATCTGGTCTGATTTGATTGGATCTGGTCTGATCTGATTGGATCTGATCTGGTCTGATCTGATTTGATTAATTATGATTTGATTTAAGATTCAAATCAATAATTTGATTTGACTTTATAATAATGTTTGAAAATTGTAATGATAATTCATATTATAATATAATCAATATTTTTTATTTAATGATTATTTTTTAATAAAATAAAATTAGTTAATTCATATATTAGAATAATCATTCATATTATAATGTAATAATATATTTTATTTTATGATTATTTTTTTGTGAAATTAGAATATTAATTTAATATTTTAATAATTATTTCATATATACATTCGAATAAATATTCAATTTATATATACATTAAAAAGTAATTAAATTTAGATAATCAATATATAGAAGAGATAGTATTTTTATTAAAATATCTCATCCTTATAAAAGATCAAAACTTTAGAAACTCAAATTACAAGTAGCAATAAAAATATATTTTAAAAGTAGAATTAGATTGACATTGTCAATGTATTTTAAAACTAATTTTTCCGACGTCTAATAATTAAGGATTACTTTCTCAGTTTTCTATTTAACCTGTTTCTAAAGTTTATTCTTTTTGATTTTTAAGAACAACAATAATATTAATAATAATAATTACAATAATAATAATAATAATAATATAATAATAATAATAATAATAATAAAAAATAATAATAATAATAATAATTTTTGATGGGATCTGATTTTAATAAGTTCTGATCTGATCTGATTGGATCTGATCTGATCTGATTTGGTCTGATCTGATCTGATTTTAATAAGAATAATAAAAAATAAGAAAAAATAAGTTGAACGGAACGGGGCCTAATTAGGGTTTAACCCTTTCTGAACAAGTTATAGCAAACTGGGCTTAAAACCATTTGGGCCGGCCAAACCCTATCGAGCATATTCTTGACCTACTACTTCATAATGGGGTTTTGGCCCACTTTTTCTGGTCTAATTGTTAATTAATGAAGATGTGATATGTTATTATGTTATGCTAAATCTCTAATTCTTTTTGTGGCAATAATTATCGTAGTATGCTAAAAAACACTACAATGCAAGCTTATTATAATTGATAGTATGAAAAAATCTAATAATGGAAATATAATAATAACAAAATATTATGAGTTGTGCAAATAAAAATGACATGATATTATATGGAGGCAACATTCTCAGTTCTTGACGACATGTACTAAGTAATGACATTGTGGTGACAGTTGTCTACTGCTCTTATCTCCTTTACATTTTTGGTCCGTTAATTTTCTACCAGTGCCGCAGTGACTGGCAGGCAGGGAGGTAATATTGATGCTAGTTAATAACATGAGTTCACTTGTTTTCTTGATTGTTTCTTTACTTAGAGTTGTTTTATTAGATTTAAGTGTTTGTATCTGCATCTTATTTACTTGCTCACTTGTGCCTTCACTTGCGTCAGTTGCGTGTGCTTGTGCTGTTGTGTATGCTGTTGTGCTAGTCTTGCTTTTGTGGTCTTTCTCCTGTAGTTTTGGCTAGTGCTAGGAGGTTTTTTCTTGTGTTCTTCCTTTTGTGGTGTGCTTTTTGGATGGCTTAGGTTAGTGATGGTGGCATAACCTCATATCCCTGGGTGGGCGAGGGGGGTAGTGGGGTTTCTAGTTTGAGGTCTGGCTCGTGTTACATAGGAACCCTTACAGGTAAGTCCATAGAGTTGGTGAAGCTCCTTAAGAAGAGGAGTATTCATGTGGTCTGCGTGAAGGAGGCTCTATGAGTGGGCACCAAGACACATGATGTGGATGGGTTTAAGTTGTGGTATTCTGGCGCCTCAAGGAATAAGCACAGGTTTGGCACTTGGTTGCCCAAGATCTTTGGGAGTTTGTGGTTAAGATGAGGAGGGTTAGCTGATTGGCTGATGGTTATTAAGTTCATCCTGGTGTGTACTCTCAATGCCGTGAGTGCCTACGCATCCCAAGATGGCTTGGACGACGACGTTAAGAGGGGAAAGTTTTTGGGAGGAGGGTGATCGAGGGCATCTCGCAGCCAGAGAAAATCGTCATTGGAGACAATTTTAATAGCCACATCAGGGTGCTGCACTAATCACCATTTAGCACTACAATGATTCCCAATTTGCAGCTGACTCAAGGTGTTTGACAAGCTTAAGAGAAATAGAAGACTATGAATATTATCTCATTGTGACCTATCATACTTTCCCTATCCAGTTAGTGTGTTAAGTCATGATCTCGTGGCTCGAACAGTTGATCATTGATATGCTCACTGATGTGCAGTGTAACATATTTTGAGTTACTTGAGGGAAGCACCAGGATGAGGCATTGTTTATCAAAATCATGCAATCATGAAGATGGAGTGTTTTGCAAAATTGATTGGGCAGGCTCTAAGGACGATCAATGCTCTATGGCTGGCTGTGTGTCTTCATCAGTGGCAATTTATTATCATTTATAAGTAAGAAACAAAATGGTGTATCTAAATAATGCAGAATGAGAATATTGTGCAATGGCACCATATGCATGTGAAATAATGTTGATAAATTACCAATGTCTGCAAAATTGCATCTGAATCTAGTTTCCCTACACATTGCATCTAATTCCGTCTTTCATGAGAAAACAAAATCGATATCATTTTGTCTTATTGTGTATGAAAACATACCTAAACAAAACATATGTCATTTTATCTATGAAACTCCTTCCTTCCCGCAATGAAGTTTATACTTTTCTTTTCTGTCCATCCCAAACTGAACTTTACACCTATCCATTTCCTTTTTAGGAAAGAATATTTGTTACAACATTTTTCTCTCTTCTAAACAAATTTGATTCATACACTTTTAATCTTTTGAACACTTTTCTCGAACTCTATGAAGTCAAAGCATACAATTTATTGCAGGATGGAGGGAGTAGTTTCTATTGAATATGTAAAAACCAGAGAACAGTTTGAATGCTTGTTTACTAAAGCACTAAGTGATACTCAGGTTAATTATCTATATAACAAGCTGGAGATGGTAAATACATGCTCCAACTTGTGAGAGTGTTAGACTATAGCTATACTAATTATAGATGTAGAGCAAGTATGTCTACACCAAAGACAGCTCGATTAAACAAGGAAGCCAACACCTTTCTAAAAACAAGGACAAAGAATCTGGGCATAAACATTGCAAGAAAACTGAGACTTAGGAAGGTTACCTTTTCTATGAGTACATGTGCAAAACTGAGACTTAGGAAGGTAACCTCTTCTATGAGTACATATGCATACATCTGTATTTTTGGAAATAAGACAACATATGAAATTCTCTCTTTTTCAACTTTTTTTTCTGAAGGATGATCTTTTATTTGGCTAGTTCTGTTTTGATCAATCTGAGGCATGTTTTTTCAGTTGACTTGTAACCATTTTTGACTTTTGCAGTGATGCATCTTTCGGATATCCAGGGGGGCCATTATTATTCAAGAATTTAAATTTTGGAATAGATTTGGATAGCCGAATAGCAAGTAAGATTGATTGAATGGTTGCTTAAATATTTATGCCTACTTTTACTTCTATGTGCATATTATTGTGATCGATGCATGGTAAGAATAAAGAAGATATATTGCAAAGCAAGGAAATTCACGGTAGGAAGGGTGTAACGGCTGTTCAGTTTTTTTTTGGGTGGGGGGGGGGGCAGCCATGTTAGTTATGTCATTCATTCAGAAGTAGGTACCCCAGTATGTAGAGTGGAATCATGGAGCGTGTGAGTCTTGAGAGAAGTTTGGTAGACCAAGAGTAACTTGAATTGAAGCTGTAAAACGAGGCATTCATATGTTTGGGCACATGTTTGTTGGGGGGGGGGGTTGTAACCTGACATGTTAGTTTCTTCATATCACTCATTGAGAAGTACGTACCCCAGTATGGAGAGTGGAATCTTGGAGCGTGGGTCTTGAGAGAAGTTTGGTAGACCAAGAGTAAGTTGAATTGAAGCTGTAAAAGGAGGCATTTATATGTTTGGGCACATGTTTGTTTTGTGCATATTCGTAACTATTTCTACTTTCTGTAAAAAAGTGTTGTACACTTGTACTCAGAATTCAAATTATTACAATATTCTGTCTACTTAAGACGCTATACAAAATGTTCATATTTACATTATATTTAGTGCTTTTTTGTGTGAACTTTGATGATTTACTTCACTATAGTGGTTGGTCCAAATGGCATTGGAAAGTCAACCATATTGAAACTAATTTCTGGTGAGCTTCAGCCAACCTCAGGAACGGTGTTTCGTTCTGCTAAGGTATCTTGTGAAATCTTTTACTTAAAACTTGATGTGCTGTTTCTTGCCTGCTTTAGTGCATGTAATGGTTGATTCATCAAGTGTTTTAGGGGATAAGGCTTTCGGGGGCTTAATCCCGGTCATAGTAAGTATAATGTTATTTAAAATTAATATAGGATGATTGAAATATTGTATTTTTCAGTCTTTATAAAATCTTAAATACTCCGTATATACCAAGATGTATACATATGAAATGTATGCTTAGCCATCCAAGCTCTTCTCTCCAAAACCTTCCAAAACAAAATTCTAGTGGTCCTAAATGATTTAAAAACTATCACATATTCACATGTTACTTTATAAACGCTAGGGTTTTCAAGATGTTTTGTTGAAAGAACTGATTCACAAGCCATTTGTTGTGTCAAACATCAGGATGTTTTATAATATAAATAAAAACTATGTTTGTGACAGCAATTGCAAATAAATTTCATCACAACCTATTCAGGTTAACTTTTCAAAGTCCTATCTTTAGTGCATAACATTGATAATAATTTACTTGAATTTTATATACATTTAGGTCCGGATCGCTGTATTTAGCCAGCACCATGTTGATGGCTTAGACATGTCTTCAAATCCCTTGCTTTATATGATGCGCTGTTTCCCTGTAAGTCTGCAAGAGCCTATGCACTTCTGTCATTCTTTATGTCTATGTGTGTTGTGTAGAAGACACCCATTCCATGCACTCGTAAGTACATGCAAATTCATGACCTTATGCAAGATCCTTTATGTTGCCCGCAAGTCTGCAAACATGGCACATGTTCACGTAGCACATCATAATTGAATGGTTTATCCTAGGCTTTTATTCTGTAGGAAAATCTCAAGTTTCGATACAAAGAAAGAAAGATCAATCTTAGTAATCCATCTGTCCCAAAAGAACGTCCTATTTTACAACATATTGTATTTAATGTTATTTCCAATAAAAAAGTGTCAAATAAGTTGAGTGCCTCAAACCAACAATTAGATTTAACGATTACTTTCGATAGTTATTTCCAAAATTTAAAAGTTGTTACTTGGTGAATTAAGACTTTTTATGTGACAGAGGGAGTCTACTAAGAATGTTTTTAGTTCCTGAACTTCTTTTATCTGATTTAATTAATGTTTGATGGAATGATGAGCAATATAACAATAGATCTTTCATCTGGTTTGTTTTTGTTATTAAACTGGATGCTTATGGCTTACCAATGAATCTATTAATGCGTAGGTCTCCTCTTTTATGCTTCTTGCAGGGAGTTCTTGAACAGAAACTTCGTTCTCACCTAGGTTCATTTGGCATTAGTGGAAATCTTGCCCTTCAACCAATGTATACATTGTCAGGTATGTTCCTTTTCCAGGCTGTTTGGGAAGTAAAGATGTATACACTAAACTAAGCAAAACGTATGTAGTAAATTCCAATGCATGTAGGATTCGGGGGGGGGATTGTATGTATGTATGCATGCATGTATGTATGCATGCATGCATGCATGCATGCATGGATGTGTGTGTGTGTGTGTGTATGCATGCATGCATGCATGCATGGATGTGTGTGTGTGTATGTATGTATGTATGCATGCATGGATGTGTGTGTGTGTATGTGTGTATGTATGTATGTATGTATGTATGTATGTATGTATGTATGTATGTATGTATGTATGTGTGTATGTGTGTATGTGTGTATGTGTGTATGTGTGTATGTGTGTATGTGTGTATGTGTGTATGTATCCTGGTTCCGAGATTTTCACGCTTTGTTTCCACCAATAGAGAATGTAGCTTCTGACTCTGTGGCTCGATGATTTGCATATGTTACGGATTTGTTCAATGTAGCTCCAGATATGCTTGCTGAATGTACATTATGTCCTAATGTGGCTTCGCCTGACCTGCACAAGGAACAAACTGATGGGACGGAAAATCCCATCTTTGTTAATTTATTTGGGAATGGAAGGTAGCCGTGGTATAGTTTACAAAGGAAGATTGAGATCTTGGGTAGGTGGGTGGGTTTCCAAGAGTGGGTGAGAAAATGGATAGAATCTTTTCTTCTTCTCAGGTTCTTGGTGGCTCTTTTGATGTCGAAGTCAAGGTCACCTGTGAACCAATGTACTCTGTTGTTACCCTCCAGGCAAAGGTGTTTGTCAGCCACATCCTCCATCGCATAAATTCTTTTCCAAATGGGGGAATCATAGATTTTGAAATTCAATATCTAATTCTCTTGGGTATTTGTTCCTCATGAAAGTTGCCCACAAAGACTCATTTTGCTGATGGGACAACCATAGCTTTAGCCCACAAGTCTCCTGTATGGTATGCAAGCTAGAGACACCAAGTTGGAAGGAAAAGCAAAGTTCTTTTTCCTTATTCCTTAACACTAAACGACATACAACAGAGCTGTTCAGATGACCGTATTGTGGAATTGGCGTTTCATTTGTATCCAAGGTAGTAAAATTACGAGTTAGTTTGTTAAATCACTGTTCAGTCTTTCGAGCTCTTGCAAGCTATCAAGAAGCATCGACTAAAGGGGAAAAACATTACAAGATTCAACATACTTGCAAAAAAAGATCTCAGAAATTCAACACCTGAAAAAAATCTCAGAAATTCAACAGACTTACAACTCCTCCCGTTATTTTTTTTATTTATGAGAAGATGACTCTTTTAGTTTTCATGATGTACTATTCTACTTCAAACGTAAACCTTTGAACTCTAAGTTATATAAACAGAATACTCCCTTTGTTTTCTGCAAAGTCTTCCAACTGCGTAACTGCATTGACAACCTGTAAAAAATCTTTGAGATTCTCAGGTTCTTTCTACTTCAAACTACTAATCCGTACTACTCAGGTATATATCTATGCTATGAACAAAATCGTCCCTTGAAGTCACAGAACTGAGCAGAAGTTTTCCCTGTTATTTCATCTTTCACTTCTATGTTATTGAATGTGATTAAGAGATTTGAGTTTGTGTGTAGGATCTTTAATTCCTAACCCGACCTGAGTTTGACTGCCTTGGTTTTAACTTGAGCCTATTGTCTCGAAGCACTTCCCAGTAGTCCTCAGGACCTCAACATTAAGCATCCCGGCCTTATCTGATGCGTGATATCATCCTCAATTTCATTTTCTTGGCGATTGAACCGAAAATTGAGCTTTTGTGGCATTTTTTGCTCCACGAATCTGGTTTCGACATCTTTCTTGGTGTGCTTCGTGCTAAAGTTGCGACGAAGATATTCAATATTCGTGTAGCTAATACATGAGCCTAGCCCCCAATACTGCTCTTCACTCCTAATGCTTTGCGTTTACGTCTCCCCTCGTCTAAACTATATAAGTTCAAGGCCAGTTCTATGGTGGACCTAAGGTCCACCATGGACTTACATATGAGCAAAATAAGCATTTTCTTACTACTTTAAAAGCATCTATTTTTTTAATAAAAAAAATAATAAAAATATTTTTTTATATGAGAAGGTCCACAAAAATGGTATGCACCCAAGGTGCACCATAGAAGCACTCTAAGTTCAATGCCTTCCACAAATAGCATACACCCCAAGGTACTCTCTTTGATCGCTCTAGCAATCACATCTATGTTGAGTTTCCTAGTGATTATCCAAAATCACCTTAGTCTTTACATTTTGGGCTGAACTGATGTTTTACTTGGTTTTAGGGATCCAAAGAGCAGAGTTGTTTTTTTTGGAAATCAGTTTCAAAAACCTTAAAATGTTAAACCTTAACCTTTGTTTCACGTTTTGTGCTAATTTTGTTTACATGGTTTCAGGTGGTCAGAAAAGCAGAGTTGCATTCGCAAAAATCACTTTCAAAAAGCCTCACATCTTACTACTTGATGAGCCATCAAATCACTTGGTACTTTATTGTTTATGATTTTGTTATGCTCTATTGTGTGTTTAGTTGTGAAGATTGGTAATTCATGTAATCGTGTGCTCCTCATGTGTTTTAGACTTTTAGGCTACATTGTTTCAATTCATAATTTGGTTGACAGATGTTTACCAATCAATTTCAAAGTTGAAAAGAAATTTATGCATATTTTTAAATTTATACTCTGTATGTTGTAATGCATTGATATTGCGTAGAACAAATGATAAGACATTCTGGGTGGGGCTTTTGGGTCCTACAATGGCATGCAGGATCTGGATGCTGTGGAGGCACTAATACAAGGACTCGTATTATTCCAAGGAGGTGTTCTGATGGTAATCTGCCCTTAATTAACGCTTGATTTTATTGTGGCTTAAGTATCATGGCATGGCTGGCCTTAGTAATTCTTTTATCAATTGTGTGCAGGTAAGTCACGATGAACATCTAATATCAGGAAGCGTAGAGCAGTTGTGGGCTGTATCGGAAGGCCGGGTGAAGCCTTTTGATGGAACCTTTCAGGATTACAAAAAACTGCTCCAATAATCATACAATATTTCACATATTGTATTGGTTTGGAAATATGGTTGATTTGGAAATGGGCCAAACCACTGCTTATTGGATGCAAAAAGCATAGCATAGCAGAGGATGAATAGGATTATCGATTGAATCAACGGTTTGTATCTTTCAATGTGATGCTCCCTACATATATAAGCAATATTTATTGTGGCATTGCTTATGGCTTACTTTACTGTCTTTTAATTGGTATGGTTAGTAATGTTTACTAACTTATACTCCGCCGTTATAAGACATGTAACTACGGAGTAATATTTTATTTTCATTTTATCCCTTTTTGTTTGTCTCATGATTATCACTCTGCATTTTTCCTCCCCAAGGAACGTATTCTTTTGCTAGAATTGTTTCTCCTCTACATAAATACACAATCAGTCTCTATTTTGCCTACAAAACTTTTAATGGGCGATGTAATATTTTGATTGTTAATGACAATATATGTACTTCCTCCGTCTCAAAATTAGTCTTCTTTCCTATTTCAAGCTTCTGCTAACTTTTATTTGCGTGTGCATTTTCATGGATCATTTTTCAAAATAAAATAGATATGCCACTAGCTTTCTTTTGTAAATCTTTTTATGTAGTTTTTAAATATGTAAGTTATATTTTTTATGTTCATATTGATTTGTAAAGAAAATCATTTTAAAAGAAATAAATTTTGCACTTTGTTTAAAATAGTTTGACAATTTTGGTACAGAGAGACTATAAATAGTCTTCTCACGTTTCGGTGTTTTTGTTCATTTACATTTTGGCTTGACCAAGGAAAAAGCAGAAGGAAGATGAAGTTATAAATCTATGCTTTATGGGTATGAAGTACGGTTCGGTTCATTTTTGGATCTGCAATTTCTATACTTTCAAAAATTAAAGATCAACATGTTACAGATTTCTTCTTCCTTTTTAAATTCATGATTTGAATTTCTTTTTTCTTTTTAGAATATGATACATCAAACAAAAAAAATAAGGGCAAATTCAAGAAAAAGAAAACACAATTATTCACGAAATGGGAAGTAGAAAAATATCCATATCCATTGCTAACGGAAGAGTTGTCATCGCTGCGGTAACTTGCTCGCTAAAGTCTCCGGTGTGATTAAGATCTATTTCGTATTGTTTAACGTAAAAGGAGCAAATCGACGTTCATGAGTTTTTTTACTTTTGCCATGCGATCTACATCAACCACAATTCTTAATTACGAATGTAAATTCAACCAATAGTTCCTAACGTTAGATGAGATACACAAACTAACCTCGATGTAGTTTCTAACGGGTTCGCACGAGGGCGGCGATTCTCTTGTGATGATAATGGTTCTTGTAAATCTTGTTGAGCAATGGCGAGTTTTGTAACGCCAATGCAGGGAGTATCTTAGATGAAGAATATCCTTCGAGGATGGTGTTATAGTTGGATTTAGCAAATCTGAAATTGAATAGAGATTTGGATAATGCTACATGTACCCCATATTGTACCCCAATTTGTATCCTAGAGTTTTGCCCTGACATTAAATGTAGGTGCAAAACTGGTAATTTGCCAGTGTTGCACCTACATTAAATGTCAGGTTAAAGCTTTGGGGTACAAATTGGGGTACAAATATGGGGTACATGTAGCATGGTCCTAGAGATTTTAGAGACACAAGAAAAAGATTGTGGGAAGTTGATATTATACCAACAAATATGCGCGAATACAATACAAGAGGTGTATTTATAGGCTAATAAAGGTAACTAGCTTCCTAATTGACTTCCGAATGAGCTCGTAGTTAGTTACGCTGTAACATTCCTTACCCCATAAAGAAAACAATCCTCCTTCTCAAGACCAAAAACAACATCAACCATAATGCATTTGTTGTTCTATTGGTGACCAGAAACCTTTGGAAATTGTTGCTCCACTTCCTTGGAATCTCTCCAAAAGCATCTTCACTGTTCTACCTTTCCCATTGTACCAAATGCTGCACTGCCACCACTCAGGAATGTGGGGTTGATGAGGTAAGGTGCCCCTAAAAGTTTTAAGTTGAGCCACATGGAAGGTGTGATGAATTTAGGTTGACTGGGTAGTTGTAGCTTATAAGCCATCGGTCCCACCTGGGCTTGTAGTTGAAAAGGACGACAATTTAGGGATCAATTTCTAATTAACTATGGCCTGCACAGTCTGCTGCCTATATGGTTATAGTTTAAGCCATACCCACTCCGTCACTTTCAATTATCTCTCACATCTATGCTTACATGCTTGAACCTTCATTCTGTGTAGTCAAAACTTTAGCATCTGAATCATGGTCTTCCTTTTTTGCATAGACCTGTCAACAACCTCCACCTTAGTCACACCTGCAAATATGGCAATTGAATGGGAGGTGGCTGTTTAAAGACCACTGTTAGAATAAGTGTCCTTTACTTAATCCTGCATACGACACTCTCAACAAAAAAAATAGATCGTTCTCTCAACCGGTTAAGGCTTGTAGAAAGTTAGGCTCTGATACCAATTGTTAGAATAAGTGTCCTTCACTAGAAGGGGGGGGAGTGAATAGTGAGGCACGAGAATGTTTATAAATTTTCGCGAAGTAAAAATCGCAGGGATAAAGTAAAGAGCAGAATAAAAGGAGTAAAGGAAGCACACCAAGATTTATACTGGTTCACCACAATGTGTGGCTAGTCCAGTCTCCCGAGAGACTCTCTCGAGCTACACTACTTCCGTTAAGCTTACAGGTGCTTAACAAACCGTTACAACCTGAAAACTCGAGTCCCACGAGCCTCAATACACTTGCTCGGAGATACCGCACTCCAAGACTTCAACCCGAAAGAATATGCCCTTCCTTCGTACAACCAAGGGAACAAACCTCCCTTAAAGTGTTCACAACACTTAACCACTCAAGTACAAAAACTCTCTTAAAGAGTAGAATATGAGTAAACTAATTTAGATCAAGAACACACTCAATTCCTCAAGAAATGGCTCTAAAAAGCTATGTAAAAAGTTTATGGAATGATGCAATGTAAAGCTATGAAATGTGTGAGGAATGGTTGTGAAAAGTAGACCCAAAAGACCCTTATTTATACCCAAAAATGATGTGTAACGGATGGGAGTTGATTTGGGTTTAATGGCATGATTTTTGGAAATTAAATAAAAGTGGATTTGCAGGAAATTAGCCTACCCAGCGATGTATGGAACTACCCATCGCTGGTAAGCCATTTTTCCTTTAGTTTTAAAGACAACGGTCACCTACCCATGGATGGGTAAGAGCTTCCCATCGCTGGGTGGGAGGTTGACTTTCAAACAAGGAAAGAATCAGCCTTAAATGCCTTACAACGGTCATGTCTTCCCATGGATGGGTAATATCCTCCCATGGCTGGGAAGTCACTTACCCATGGATGGGTAATATCTCCCATCGCTGGGTGGCATGGTTCTGGAATCCCGGATCACTTACCCATGGATGGGTAATATCTCCCATCGCTGGGTGGCATGGTTCTGGAATCCCGGGATCACTTACCCATGGATGGGTGATATCTACCATCGCTGGATAGATGGTTAGTCCAAAACCATGGCCTAGCCGACCGGCGCTGAAACTCGACCGAAAAATGCAAAGTTCTCCAAAGTAAAAAAATAAGTGTTTAAAACACTTATTTAATGTATTTTATGTAGAAAGCAAGTATAAAAACTTAAAAACCACTTCATTAAGGTAAAAACCACGTCTAGCCAAGTTTATGCCGTTTCGCATGGTTTTTGCCAAACGACCAAAAACGAGAGGTGGTTTTTGAATTGTTTTTGTTGGAGAACTATTTAAAAGTGCCTAGAAGTAAAAACCAATCATAAAAGGTTGAAAACCACTTGGTTGGTTCGGACGCTAAAAACCAACACCGAAAAAATAAAGGTTATGGTTTTTGAAAACTAATGATTTGGAAAACCTTTAAATGTGTCCAGAAGCATAAACCAAAGATGAAAACCCAAAAATCATTTGGTTAAAATCAATGCCAATAACCAATGCCGAAAACCAAACGCCATAGCGGAACGCCGATAATCGATGGTTATGGTTTTGGTTAAGCAAGAACCATCGGTTTTAGAAACTTAAAAACCATTTATGAAAAAACTCATTTGATGCATGAAAAACATATTTTGTTTTGAGCCATGACGTACAGAAATTGAATGAGCTTGTTACAATAAAAACCTAAGTCTTTAGAAAACGTCTTCAAAGCGCCAATGTCGCCATCTTTAGCAACGTCAATGCCTTTCTTGTGCTTTTTGTTTCTTCAAAGAACTTTTTCTATCTCTTTGAATCTTTTCATTTTGTTCCATGTTCCCGACGGTTTGTCAATATCAAAACCTAAACGGAAACAAACATTGTCATTAGCAAAATGTCAAAGTGAAAATGTTTTCACTGCTCATGTTTGCCCATATGTATGAGGATGATAGAAAGTAGATAGAAATAGTTTTCTGCTTTGTATATTCATTAAAGCCTTCCAAAACTCACTTAGGAACATTTTATATATCCCTATCACTTACAATTGAGTGAGGCCAACCATGAAGGTTGAATACATTATATGCATTTTTCATAGCAGAAAAGGGGTGCCTACGTGTCACAAAATGAACATACTTGCTAAAGCTATCCACCTCCACCAATAAAACTTCTTTCCCTCTAGATTTGGGTAACCCCTCTATGAAGTTAGCAAGGATATCTTTCCAAACTCATTGGGTATTTGTAGGGGTTGAAGTAGTCTTAGGTAAGGGCTAGTGTCATATTTGTAGCTTTGGCAAACCAAGCATGGCTTGATATGACTTTAGACATATCTTGTCATACCCTTACAAAGGAACAAGTTCTTTAAATTTTTTTTAAGTGTAGCACCCCTCCCTGGATTCCCTCTAGTAGATGAATGTTGTATTTAGGCGTTTAACTTAGCATTCGGCCCTATGACTAGCTTTCCCTTTTTCCTCAATAGGGGTCCCATGAAGGTTGTACTTCTTCACTACTATCCCTTGCTGCAACTTTACTATGACTGCCATTAAATTATTATCTTGTAGCTCTCTTTAGTGGTTTTTAATGTATGAGATGGAACCCTAGTTATAGCTAACAACTAGATAGAACATTTGTCACTACATTTTCAACTCCACTTCTAAATTGTATCTCATATTGAAATCCGATCAGCTTAGACAACCGAGTGTTGGAAAGGACTCAAGATCTTCTACTCCAATAACCACTTCAAACTTCTTTAGTCAGTATGATAACAAAGGTGTTACTACTCAAGTATTGCTCAAAAAGCGAAGGGATGCCTATCTCCCATGAGAACAACTCTGGAATGTTGCATTTGAGTCTTATATCCATTAAAAAAAGTTGTTAGCACTGTAAGTATTTATAGCTTTAGGTGTAGGTAATAGAGAAAAAGATGGATATGATCTGGACACAGGTGATCTGGTTACTTGTTTTGTAGCTTGTACAACATCCTCCTGCAATCTCACAAATTGTAAAGCTTCATCCAAGGACATAGGCTTTAGAGCCTTCACAAAGGCCTTCAAGTGTGTCTTTAAATTTGCAACAAAATTGTCCACAAAGTACTTCGATAATACAGGAGTCTTTTGAAGTAGCAGGGATTTTAATTTCTCAAACTTCTCCAATTATTTCTCAATTGTAAGATCGAGGTATGATTGTTGATGATTGAACCATGAGTAAAATAAATACATTGATAATTGTAACACCCCAATCCGTATAACCCGGAATTACACGAATTAAGGTGAAACGAGAGTTAAATAAAAATTTCGCTTGACATTCGAAAATGACAATTACTTATAAATATTAAATTTACACACTCTGGATCGCGACCCATTTAAAAATATTTTCAGAGTAATGCGGAAGTACAATAATAATCAAATCATGACACATTTTAAAATCTGATGATCAAACATTTGTCTGCCATCCTTGCATCTCCTCTGACTCAATGCCCTCCGGGAATGGTTCCATCATTGTCTTCTTGTTACCTACGTGTAGTCAACGAAAAATACAAACTACACGCTCAGCGAAACCGCTGAGTGGTACCACGCTAGAATTGTAGAATGATTCACAGACATATACATATACATATATATACGTCCACAAAATGTATAGTAACATTCATGATATGACACATATTATCATATGGTCAATTTGATGAATCATGATGATAAATATTTAATGATAATTACATGATGGCACATTTAATCAATTTGCTTGTGAGGATGATTACATGATACCAATGTAATCAATATACTTTTTCTTGATGATGATTACATGACACCTATGTAATCAATGTAGCTGTACTTGATGATGGTAACATGATGCATGATCCTATAACTTGCAAGGACACCCTTGCGCTATGAGATTCGCCCATTTGGTACGACAAACTCACGCGGCCTTAGTCTCACGAATGAGGAGAGACTAGAAAAATAGGGGTGGTACTCGAAACCTGAATACCATGTACGTACACTAAGCCCGGAACGGGTGATGTCGGACTGCTAAGTCCCGCACATCACGCTATAAGAGACGCAATTACGCATGATCTCTTACGCATGCATATGATATGATATGCTACAATATGTGTGATGATATGAGTCATATGATATGAACAATTTGTAAACAATATGAATGGATAAATATACTTTATTTTATTTGGGTGAAATCTGATAAAAATATCAATTAATTAAGCTACGGGTCTCAGAACGGTGGACCGTTTAGCACGGCGGTCGACCGTGCTATATTTCAACTCGTCGGATTTCTGGATCACCGTGACGGTCGACCGTGGTTGACCGGCGGTCGACCGTTGTTGACTTGTTGGAACGGCGGCGTTCTGCTGGGCTGGCGACAATCAACCGTTCGCCGACGGCGGTCGACCGTTTTGCTGACAGTAGTGGTCCGTTTCGAAGTTTAATATGACGGTCGACCGTTTGTGTCAACCGTTTGGGTCTGCGAATCTTTCTCTTGATATTTTGAGTGTCCAAAATACTTCTTTAAGTCTTTTAAACACCTTTTATTAATCTATACATATTGTTGGGTTGATTTCCAAAGTTTATATTTACTTATGTGTATATTAACTTTATGGATTGGTGTATTTTGATCTGAACATATAGATGACTTATATATGCATCACATATATATTTTGGGATGGTTTCAACATATGGATTAATATATATGTTCATGTACGTATGTAATGAATGATTCGAAAAGTCTAACGCAAGGGTACATACCTGGAAATCATCGGCCGAAACCTTACGGATGAGCGGGAGTGGAAACAACATCGAAATTCACCAACTTTGTCATTTCCGTCACAACTGGACAGCCTGCGGTAATTTGGGCATATCTCCATCGTTTCTTCACGAAATTGCAAACCGTTTGATTCTGTGGATTCCTAAGATGTAAGGCTACAACTTTCGTATAGAAAGTATTTCGTTTTAACATATGTAAGATAGCGTAAATCGGACCTGAAGTCAAGGGATAGTCGCTGTCCAGAATTTCGGGTATGTCGATGAACATGATTCCGACGATTAACTCACTAACTTCAATATTCCAACACGGAACCTTCTCTATGATACCTTCCGGATGTTCCTAATAATCATTAGAGAGTTTATGGTAAGTGTTTGGAATGAAACAACATGGATATGGTGAGGAAACATAGCCAACCCGAGGAGCTCGCCACCACTGGTGCAGTCCCGGTATTTTGGCCATATCTTCTTCGTTACTTAACAAAATCGCGAGCCGTTTGTTGGGCTGGATTCGTATCGTCCGGGGCTACAACTTTGGTTCAGAAATTATTTCGAGATAATAGATGGAAAATTTCAGTTTTTACCTCAAAGTGGACTGATGTGTTTTGGTTTCAGGATTTTGAGACTTTATGGTTTTCTTCTTGCTTCTTCTTCTTCCTCCTTAGTATACAACCATGGAGCATTGATGTTTTCTTCTCCTTCTTTGGGCTGCCGACAGAGAGAGAAATGGAGAGGAGACTTGGATGAATGATGGTGGATGATGGTGATGGTGTATATGATGATGGTGGTGGTGGAATTGTGTAGGAAAGGGTTGAGATTTGGAGTATTATGTAGATTTAATGTATTATTAAGTAGCGGAGAATAATGGGGTGGCTAGTGGAGTGACTTACGTGATTGGGGAGGGATTTTAGAATATTAGTTTTGGACTTTTGTCCAAACTGAACAGTTTACTCCAAACGGTACGCGCTTTTTCTCCCAAACTACTCTGAATTGAAAACGGATTGTATTTTTGGAATGAGACTGTCAAAACTAGAATTTTGACATAATCAAAATATTTTTCTGAGAACTTTTATTTTTCTCAGTGTTCGGGTGTGTCTCAGTCATAAATTAATTTAATAATATAAATGATATAAAAATATATGAATTTAATCCAAATCTTGAATATGATGTTGTCAAGTGTCAAAGATTAAGATTTCTAATCTTATGAAATCTCTTTTGAATTGAGTTTATTTTATGGGTCAAAGTTACAAATTTTAATATTTAAAATACTCATAGCTTGAAATCTATAAATCAAATTGGTTCATAGAATGTACCGTTGGATTCGTCTCCTCGAAACATATCCATAAAAATAAGTTTTTAACAAAAAGTTATTATTTTTAAAATCCATTTATTTTTAGTCAAACGTACAAATATTCCTTATTGGATAAAAACTACTTTTGTTTTATAATAAATTTTAGGCCATATTTTGTGGCGTTACAATAATTATGAAATCATTTGTATTGTTAAGGGTATCTAGAATAACTCTAAGATATACCCATTTAGATAATTGATGTTAAGGCTATCTGGAAGACCTCTAGAATAGATCTCAAATTAGAATGGATTTGTGAAAATATGAATATTTGGTGAGTTGGATAAAAAAGTATAAACGGGGTTTGTAGACCAAATTAGAGGATTACTCGTTTGGAAATACCCCGACTCAATTCTTGTTGTTACCTTAAATTAATTATAGTTAAAGCGCCTGAGAATAATTGTTTGCCTTAAACTAATTATAGTTTAAGCGTCTGAGAACTATTGCCTTAAACTGATTATAGTTTAAGCGTCTGAGAATTGTTTTCCTTAAACTAATCATAGTTTAAGCGTCTGCGAATGACATTATGATCTAGCCTTAGACTAAGAATAGCTAAGAGTGTTGTTATGATCTGGCCTTAGACTAAGAATAGCTAAGAGCGTTGTTATTATTTGGCCTTAGATTGAGAATAATTTAAGAGTGCTATTGAAATAATATCTGAATTGAGTAAAATATTTTGATATGAACTGAACAATATCAAATTTGTGAATGTCTGAATTGAACATTGTGTGCATGTTATCAAATAATTTGATTATGAATTTAGATTCAGTTTATATGGATGTTCGACACATTAGATATGCTTACTCAGCTTCAATGCTGAGCGTGTAGTATGTTTTTATTTGCTACACGCAGGTAAGTAGAAAGAACAATGTGATCCTGGTGGCAGATGGGGCGAGATTGTCGGGATGGATGTGACAAGTCTTGAAATGATTTATTATGATATGACAATATTTAAATTCGCTTCCGCAATATTGTTGAATACTCCGTACTATATGTTATGAAAAATACTATTGTGCTAAATAAAAGTGTTTGAAAAGTTTTAAATTTTTACGATTACAAAGTTAATACTTTAGTCCAAAAGAGGCTGCAGACCTGGATGGATTAGGGTGTTACACATACCCTAGCCTTATAGTGCATTCAACACACAAGCGCCCACGACATTCAATTGTGACTTGGCCCACATAGCCTCCGCCACGAGACAATTGATGCACACATGGCCAACAATCTCCCCCTCAGCAATTGCTCCCGCTGGGAATCGAACTCATGACCTTGGCTCCGATAACACTTGTAGGACCTCAGGCGCTACAAACTCTTCTAAACCCAATTGGTGTTAGAAGAGGTGCTTACCCTAGCCTTTTAGTGCATTCAACACACAAGCGCCCACGACATTCAATTGTGACTTGGCCCACATAGCCTCCGCCACGAGACAATTGATGCACACATGGCCAACAAAAGTTAGAGAAAATACTATACCACAAGTAAAGAGATCTAAATATCAAGAAAATGGAGAAATAGAGGATGATGTTAATTACAGGATTCAAGGTGGTTGGTAAAAATGGCAGAGTTCTTCGGGCTTTATATGTGACAAAAAAGTACCATTAAAACTAAAGGGAAAAGTTTACCGTACTGCTATTAGACCAGCTATATTGTATGGGACAGAGTGTTGGGCAGCAAAGGGTGAACAAGAACACAAGGTTAGTGTGGCAGAAATGAAGATGCTTCGTTGGATGAGCGGTGATACGCGTATGGATATAATAAGGAGTGAAAATATGGGAGCTAAAGTTGGAGTGGCACCAATTGTTAGCCTTGGTTTGCTAAGTCTCATGTTTTGATGTTAACAAACAATATAAGAGCTTAACATTTGTTTAAGTGTTTCAGGAAAACAAGAATCCATTAAGATTCGGTACTCAAGAATGAAGTCGAAACACTAAAACTAGCGTAGAATATAGGTAGAAACCAATGTAAGGATATGACTTTATATACCTATATTCACAAGCTCAAAAGTACTCACAAAATATGTTTAAAACCATCACATAAACACTTTCAAATATCTAAAAGGTTTTAAACTCAAACACGAAGGATTAAGGAAATTTTGGAAAAATCAGAACAGAGTCACGGTACCCCTAGCGGTACGCCACACGGTAGGGTATACCGCCTACATGGTACCCCCATACCGTGTAACAGTACCTAGGTACCGACGGTAGGCGTAGACGGTTGGCCGAACCCGTCCTAACCAGTTACCGCCAGAGGCGAACCGAACTTTTGGAAGACAAGGAACCACCAAACGGTAGGCTATACCGTGGTCACGGTACCTAGGTACCGGACGGTACAGACCCTACCGTGAAGGGTACCGGATCCGTTGTAATCACTGTAGCAAATTGCCAATTTAAATTCTAATCACCCTAATCACCTCCCAACGGCTAATTAACATCTTCCACTATAAATACAAGCCTAATCCTTCATATTTCTTCAAGAAACAAAGCTCTAAACATCCTCCCTTTATATTCTAAGTGTGTTCATTCTTTTATTAATTATTTTCAATATTTTGGCTATTTCAAGAGCCTTAAATTCCTGATTTTTATACACACACTTTGAACTTGTGTTTCTAGTTATATACTCTCATATTCAAAAGTTTGAATTGTATTTTTGAGAGAGTATACTTTCCTTCTACACCGGCTAAGTTTTGTTCTTCATTTTAATATTCTAGCCGTTGTGTAGAATCTAGTTTTGTGTTCTTCAAACACATCTTCTTACGGTCGAGAATAGCTGTCAAATTCTCACGTTGTAACGGTTAAGGATAGCCGTTAAATCCTTGGGTAAAGGTTCAAGGATAGCCTTTGAAATCCTTGGGGGGACGGTAGAAGATAGCCGTTAAATCTTCATTGTAAACGGTTCGAGATAGCCATTGTGATATCTCGGAGTGAATCCTATTGGCAAGGGTTGTTTGCCAAAACTAGTGCGGTGCTTTGACGGAGTTCAAGAGGCCGAGACTTAGTGGATTCGGAAATCCTTGAGGAGGAGCCTCGAGGTACTGGAGTAGGGGTTTCCCGAACCAGTATAAATTCGGTGTGCATTTTATTTACGCTTTTATTTTTGCGTTTTATATATTGCTTCGGCATTTGCCAACATCGTTTTTATTAAACTCCGAAAAGATTTTAAAACGCCTTATTCACCCCCCCTCTAAGGCGTGGGCACAACGACTAAACCGACTAACACCAATTCTAAGAAAAATGGTAGAAACTCGACTTAGGTGGTTTCGAGATGTGGAGAGAAGACTAATAGAGCATCCTGTGAGAAGGGTTTATCAAATGGTAAATAGGTATGTGGCTGGAGGAAGAGGTAGACGTAGGAGGACATGGCAAACATTGATCAAGGGAGACCTTTGCGCAAACAATCTCACAGTAGATAGGATAGTAGATAGGATACATGATAGGGCGCAATATCGTCGTTTAATCCATGTAGCCGACCCCACCTACTGGGATAACACTTTGTTGTTGTTGTTGTATAACTTAAAATGAGTGCTCATTAAGATAACCACTATTTTTTCTCATCAGAATTTCTTTTTTATTGTATTGAAATTTGAAAGTTTTTTCATTCATCCAATGTTCACCACTTATAAATTAAATTAAAAATACTCCCATAAGCATGTGTATGAGGACTTTATAATTATTTATAAAATGTAAAAAATAGAAAATTAACGTAAATTACATATTAAAGTAATTGTTTACATAAATTTTCAAATAGAATAAATAAGTATCAAATATAAAATTAATGAATTTAAAGTATCCCGATAGTACAAACGTGACCCAATCGTAGATAAAAAATGTAAATTTTTAATAATACAAATTTATGTTTGAAAATATTTTTAATTATGTGGACTAGATATATTTAGAATTGTCTCAAATTCTTTAATAGATTTAGATTAAATATCTTTAGAACAAGTAAAATTTTTTACTTGACAGCAACTTATGAGTAACTATTTTTTTATTTAATGAAGTAAAACTAATTTTCTTAAAGGAAAAAAGTTTCATTTGTGAGCTAAAAGATCCATAATGAACACAAGAGTGACCTCCCAAACACAATATAAGATGGGAGAACTTTTAGGTAAAGGAAAAAAACTTATGAGCGATTATATATTTTTATTACTATAGTAAAGTTAGTTTTTTAAGGTAAAAAAATTTCTATTAATGAGCTAAAAGATCCCTAATGAACACAGGGAGAGTGACCTCCCAAACACAACGAAAGAGAAAAACTTATAAATAAAGCATATATTGCAAAATTTGCCGCCCTACAATTAAGAGAAACTCAAACTATGTTAAAAAAAAAGTGTAGCACTAAAAAGATTAATGTTATAGATCAA